GAAGTTGTTTGGCATTATATCGGACGTTTAGCCATGTTTTATTTCCGAATTCGCAGCTCTTGTTGGTATCAGCTCAGCTGCAACAAGAATCTCTTACGAACAACATGGCAGACGACAAGAGGCACGACGTTCCTTTGTGCATATTGTTATGGGGTTTGTGCTGCGTTGTTGACTGGTATTTTGAAAAACAAGATTTCGAGCTTTTTGGCCGGTGCGTGTGCGTAGCTGCTTTTGAAGTGTTGTCAAGCTTTGTGCCAGCGTTCGTTGCCTCCGCAGCCTTTTTTAGAGTTTGACTTTACGAGGGGAGGTTTGCGCTGGCGCTGGTCTGGCATAGGCGCGCTGAAACATGCATGGACTTCAGTTTGCCTGCCACGTCACCTCTGTTGATTTCAGGACGATGCTTCCTCCAGTGAACAGTACCATGACGGAGCTGGTCGCGTGGGCTCGAGAAGCGCGGTGTTTTTAGACCTGCACTGAGACTGGTTGATCATTTAGTCCGAGGTGCAAGGCCCTCGCCGCTTGGAGATGTTGCGCTTTTTGTACAACCAGCTGAAGGGGGTCTACCATGTCATGAAGCAGGATCAGGCCGGTTTTAAGCAGCATCTTGGGCGTCACCATATTCTTGTCTTTCGCAGGGTGACGCGCTGTTGCACGGCTGGCTGAACGACCTCTTGAAATCGCCAAGACGCGAGCCGGAACCTTGGGCCCAAAATTTTACGTAGCATGTAAGCAGTAAGCAGAAGCGCATCTTGAGGCGAGAGAGACTGCACGATTCGTATCACGAGTCGTCCATGCCCGGGGCAGGCAGGTTTGAGAGGTTGTTTTTAATGCGTTCTCCTGAAGCCTGGAAATCATAGTTAGATTGCGGGGGTATCATCCCCTTTTATGGCCGAACTCTTCAGGTTAGTGAAATATTATAATGCAATACTACCATAAACCATAGCTAATATATCTATAGTTAGTATACCAACCAAGTTAACTATGGTTTGATATATCTATAATTATATACATTTACCAAGATAGTTGATTTTTTGTGGAAACCATGGGAAAATATATGGGAAGACCATGGTTTTATATGGGACCAATGGGGCCCCAGTTCGTGAACGCTAAGTTGGTGAACACGACTAGGTTCACGGCTCATATTTCGCCGTGAGTCAAAATGACATTTCGATGATGTGTATGTCGCACTCAAATCATCGCAATGACATGGGTTCTACTTGTCGTGTGTGTTCAATGTTTGCAAAAGTGCTTTTTTTCCTCTTCTGCAAAATGCGAGTAAACTAGTCGGATCTTCATACTTTGGTTAGACATGTCACGAACCTAGCAACCGTGGCGTGCAGATGTGCAACCAACGTAGCATCCGTAGCGTGCAGATGTGCAACCAACGTAGCATCCGTAGCGTGACGTATCTTTGGTTCCGTAAGAAGAAGTGCGTGCGAATGCAAACACAGGACGTTCTTGGCCCTCCCACCCCACCCCACCCCATCATAGCCCCTAAAATGATTAGCAAATGCATACTATGGAGATAAATCCATTGGTCAATCATCATTTCCCCTATGAAACGAACTCGCCTAATCCATTGGGGCTTCCCCAATTTTTTAAAGACACGGTTCCCTACAGGATGGCCCCCCCCAGTGATGTGAATGTTGGTTTACAAGCCCATCAAAAAAAAATATATTTGCGTATCATACACGACATTGTTATGATAGTTATGTTCACCAACTTAGCGTTCACGAACTGGGGCCCCGTTGGCCCATATAAAACCATAGTCTTCCCATATATTTTCCCATGATTTCCCATATTTTCCCATGATTTCCCACATTTTCCCATGATTTCCCACATATATTGTAGGTTTCGAAGGCTTTCTTCAATGGCGATTTCAAGGTCCCAACCTGGAGGTGAAATAAAGCTATTGCACATGGGTTCCATGGGTTTTATGGGTTCCATGGCCGGTACCCCAATAGCTTTATTAACGTGTTTCCATAGCAATCCTTAAAATGGATGGTTGATTTCATGGGAAAATCCCAATCTAATAGCTGTATGATTTGGATATATTTTGATGATGACTGGGGGTAGCCAATGGTAGCCATATGACTTTGGAAGCCTCCTAATATGTATAAGTTTCTTCAAAATAAGACATGTGGAGGGTCAGAACACACGGGATTTTGATGTTCATTGTTTCGGGTAAAGCCCTTCAAAATGATGGTGTAGACTTCAGTTTTGACAGATGTTTTCTGCTGCTGATGCGCTACGTGCGCTACGTTTGTTGCAGTGGTAGTAGTGGTAGGAGTGGTAATGGTAGTAGTGGTAGTGGTAGTGGTAGGGCTTCTTTTGGCTACAAGTTCCAATCCTAAAAAATTGAAGGCCAGGACCAACATGTTGATGAAAACAGGTTTTGTTCTTTGCTTTCTGTTTCTGCAAAAGGTTTTGTTCTTCCCTTGAGAAATGTGTCGACAAAATGGGATTTTATCTCTCTAATTGAAGACTGATACGCTGCTACCTTCTTTAGCTTCAAGATTTTGCTGTTTTTTGGGTGTTTTTGGTATTCAATAATTGCCAATGGTTTTTAATATGACAGAGAGATAGAGAGAGGATGAAAAGAATTAGATGAAGATTTGATGAGCTTGAGACTAAAGAGAGAGAGAGAGAGATAGAGAGTGAGACAGAGAAGGATTTCGAGAGATATGAGAGGAAAATAGAGAGATATGAGAGGGAGATACAGATAGAGAGATATGAGAGAGATAGAAATAGAGAGATATGGGAGAAATAGATCGCGTGGCCACCCACCGGCTAAATACCGTTTGCATCACAGTGCCACCCTCATTTTGCAGATCTTCGATCTTCGTGTTTCTCACCCACCAACTTAACTGGGACTCTGCACAACAGCAACTTGAGTCCACCACCCTAAGAGAGGTAACTTAAGCGATGAGCGAGCAGAACAACACCTTAAGTCCACCAAGTTAAGTGAGGCAACTTAAGCGACGAGTGGTGATCACAGCAAGTTAAGTTAGCAAACTTAAGGGGCAACCTGTTGTTGGGGAAAAAGTGCCGCTAGGCCTAAAAGTTTAGGGTTCGCCAGCTACAGCGCCTAGGCAAAAACCTTGATCCGGTGAAGTTTAGTTAATAAAAGTTTTAAGAAGTTTAGAAAACCCTTTGGCAGGGGGACCACGGCCTAACACCCATTGCTAACATGGCCATCTTAAGTTGGCCACCTTAAGATAGGCCACTTAAGTGAGGAGTTGCGCCACAGCAACTTAAGTTTCCCAGCAACTTAAGTCTTAAGCATCACCCTGCCAGGGCATTTGTTTATTCCTCAGGCCAAACCAGCGGTGGGGAACAGGACAGCGGTTTTTTTATTGTGTCAATTGGATGAATCAAAATAAACCAAGTTGATTGGGGGCGCCATCTGTGGAAGATCATGAGAAAATCATAAGATTTCAGCACTTTGCAGTCTGGACAGTATCACCTTTTTGTTGGTGCGATATCCAATGAAGCAAGCATTGCCAAGCCAAGGGGTCAAGGCGCGTTTTATTTTTCAAAAACAGGGGACTCCATTTTGACAAATTCAACGACATGGAACATCTGTAGATCATTTCGTCAGCAAAGCATGGTTTTCCCACATTGTCTTGGCGTTTTTGGTGGTACCCTCTGGTTATTTGACATAGCCATGGAAAATGGCCCATAGAAATCATAGAAATAGATGGTTTACCTATTAAAAGTGGTGGATCTTTCCATGGCTATGTTAGTCATAACCAGATGGTACTGTGTATATTCTATCTGTGTGAAATATCATCTATCCATTATTTCATTCATTGACATTCATTGACATTCATTGACTCATGTGTTTTGATGCGTTCAACTATTCAACTATTGTTTAATGGGATCTAGTGGAATTCAACTATTCAACCATCAACAATGGGGATAATGGGGATATATCTGGGTAAATTTTGATGCGTTTATTTGTTCATCGTTTACCGTCTTTTCATATTAGTTTCTGTTTCACAAGGTCACCCTGAGTGGCTCTGAGGATTTCTCGCCTGGAATCATGGAGCTACAACCTCCGTTCCTTCGTTCTTCATGAAGGCCGCAGTAGGCACCACACATTCATCGCACACTTCACATGACAGAAAGATTGGAAACCTGCACATATTAGGTAAATACCATCGAATTACCAGTCTGGTTTTACATTTTTCGAGTTTTTCGGCATGGTTTTGGGCGTTCCTATATCCCATATTTGTAATCGGACATATTCCATATGCAATTGGATGATGATCTGGTTTCTACCCTTTGTCGTTTTCTTTCCGTCAATTATTTATATATATATATATAGTTATTCCCATATCAGAATGGCTACCCTCTGGTAATTTAACAGTTTGCTATTGAAAATGGCCCAGTTATAGTTGATTTACCTATTAAAAATGATGATTTTCCAGTTCGCTATGTTCGTTTACCAGAGGGTAAACCATGTTAAACCCAAATTTTCAATCTGATGGCAACCCCCGAAAAGATGCCGAACAGTCTTTGGTGGTTGCTGCAGTTATGGCCCTTAGCGGTTCTAAATGGGATTGTAATTCCTGTAACTAAGGTGAACGCATATATACATCATTCCATAAATACATTTATAATTATATTTATAATAATATATATATATATATTTTTATTATATATATATATATATTTGTATATATATATATATTTGTATATATATAATGTATAATATATGATATATAATGTTTAATACATGATTTATAATATATCGTATATAATATATATAAAATATATATAACATATATAATATATAATATATAATAAATAATTTATAATATAAAATATATACAATATAATATATAATATATAATATATAATACATAATAAATAAAAATAATAATATATAATAAATAATAAATAATAACTAATAAATAATAAATAATATATAATATATAATATATAATATATAATATATAATATAGAATATATATATATATTATATAAATATAATATCTATAATTTACACTATATAATATAACATATATAATATATAATATATAATATATGTATATTTTTTTTATTAAATATATAATATATTTAATATATATATAATATTTAACATATATATATATATTATATTATATTATATGATATTATATGATATGATATTATATTGTATTATATCATATTATATCATATTATATCATATTTTTTGGATTATATTATATTATATTTTATTATATTGTATTATTTTATATTATATATATTTTTTATATTATATTATATTGATTTCATTGTATTATATTATATTATGTTATGTTATATTATATTCTAGTATATTGTATTATATTATATTATACTATATTATACTATTATATTATATTATACTATTATATTATATTATACTACTATATTATATTATATTATATTATACTATACTATACTATATTATATTATATTAAATTATATATTATATTATATTATATTATATTATATTATATTATATATATTAGACTGTTGCTCCCCCGTCTTTCCTATCTACCCGCCCAGATTATGATACAACAAAATTCTATGGGGTAAATACTAAAGACAGGGGAGCAACACCTTATAGAAAACAATAATATAAACCATAACAAACAACCATATAACAAAAAAAACAAAACAACATAAGCAATACAATAGAGTGTAAAATAAACTATACCAAAAACTGAAACAACAAACTATACACTTACCCTCATTCAAAAGCCCATTGTAAAGCCTATACCTATGAGATGAGACTTTAAGATAAATTATGAAATAATTTATCTATAAAGCCAGACCCCAGCAATGGTAAAGCCAATACATAGTTTTTTGAGATTTCCGGTAGGTCTTTATGTTTTGAGAAGGTCTGTCAAAAGTTTTGACAAAGTCTGTCAAAAGTTCTAACCACAGGCGTTAGGTGTCAATATCCAGCCCAGAAATCAAAAATATCCCGCCCAGATAATGGGAATATCCAGCCCAGATAGCACCCTGTAGGGGAACAGTCAGGGCAACTGTATGGGAACAGTCAGGGCAACTGCAGGGGAACAGTCGGGGCTCAAAATGATTTAAAATCCCTCTTAACCACCCAATCTGTAGGGGGGACAGGGAGCACCCTGTAGGGGGGACAGGGAGCACCCTGTAGGGGGGACAGTTTGGCTCAAAATGATTTAAAATCCCTCTTAACCACCCAATCTGTAGGGGGGACAGGGAGCACCCTGTAGGGGGGACAGGGAGCACCCTGTAGGGGGAACAGGGAGCACCCTGTAGGGGGACAGGGAGCAGAAATACCCAGCCCAGATAATGGGAATATCCAGCCCAGATAATGGGAATGGAACCCCTCCATTTTGGGGAATGTAGTCCCTCCATTTTGTGCAGATTATGAAGGAAATTTAATCATTTGGGTAGGAATGCACCCCCTACATTTTGGGGAATGGAACCCATACATTTTCAGGAATGGCACCTCTCCATTCCAAGTTGAGAACCGAAATCCAGCCCAAGTAGGAACCCCCTATCCTACCTTATGAGCCCAAGTAGGAACCCCCTATCCTACATGAGCCCAAGTAGGAACCCCCTATCCTACCTTATGAGCACCTTTCCAAGTAGGAAATGAAAATCCTACCAAGTAGGAAACCCAAATCCTACTTAATGAGCCCAAGTGTAGGAACCCTTTACAACCCAATCTTACTGAAAACATACAACATTTACAGCAGTCATAATTTCTTCAACCAATGCTTGAGGTATTCTATACAAATCCTTTTGTTTGAACAAGGTATAGCCTTCTTTCCAGTTCTCTTTTTTACCACTGGGTGCCCTCTGGGCAGTTTCTTTATGACGGTTTCCATCCATACTATCGCAATCTTTTTTACAAAGAGGTCTGGGTGTCCAAGTGTCCAAGTTAGTCCAGAGCCTAGTGCGTTTCCTGTAATTAAAACCATACTTACAATAGTCAATATCAAAATACGGAAGCCCTTTCATAAACTCCTGCTTCTTCAAAAGTCCGCTCTGGGGATTTTCTATTATAAATAATCGCGGATTAAAGTAGTTAATTATCTCAAGCGTTTTCAAAACGATGGCATTAGCCTCATCAATTTTTCGCATTCCAACCGTTTTAGCAATACTGTATTCAATACAGGGGGGAGAAGCCCAGACAAAGTCAAAGTATTTCACTGGATATTTATTGTATTTCCATTGTAGTATGTCGCAGTTTATATCAGCCCCTTTCAAATCTAATGACACAACAGTCCAGCCCATATTTTTAGCTACACTTCCAACACTACCAGTGCCACTAAACAATTCTAACAATTTCATAATATTATTATAGATAATAATATTATCAAAATTTCATCTATTCACCCATCACTTTGAAGACTTCACCGTCTTTTTCAATTTTATAAAACTCTAGAGTTTGACTTTTAGGTTGCTTCACTCTTCCTTCGTTCAGCATTTTCAGATACTGCTGTTGCTTGGTTTCAAAAGTTCCTACAGGTCTGCCGATTTTTTTAGCCTCAAAGATTTTATCAATCCTTTCCTTTTCAGCATCAGCATCATTATTGTCGCGAAAGCCTCGCGAGGTTTCCGCCTGAAAGGCGTTAAGGGGACTTCGTCCCGTTTCTGCCGAAGCGTCAGTAGGTTTATTTTTCACTAATATATCAAGTTTTTCTAATGCCTTGTTCATTAAGTCCATCAGTGTTTTGACATTCTTGTTGTATCTTGTCATCTTGTTCAGCATCTCTGCCATTTCAGGCTGTTTATCATCTGAATCACTCATTTCTATATCTAATTATTTATATGTTTATTTATTTATGAGTTCAAAGTGTGTTAAAATCACTCTTTAAATAGTTTTAATCCATATCATTTATTGACACTTGTTTTTTCTTGCTTGTAGGCGTCCCCATTATATCGCTTATCATTTGGTTTCTGTGTTGTTCAGCTTCATTTTCTGGTGTAATTTGCCTTCGGTTAAAACTGAAACTGATGCTATGGTCTTCACTTTCTAAAACAATTTCACCGTCATCATCCTTTTTTACATTCATTGTTTTATCATTCTTGCTGATTTTGAAACTACAGGGGGAGCATTTACATTTGATGCCCTTGGGGTTGATTTCAATTTCATTTCTCATCTGTGGTTTGCCATTACACAAGGGACATTCAAATACAATGTTTTTAGATGTCAGTTTTTGTTCTTCATTCAGATTAACAACAGCGGGTTCTTCATCTGATAGTCCAAAATCTTCAGGGATTGGCTTTTTTAGTATTTTGCTTTTACTGCTTTTCTTTGGTGGCATTTATATGATACTTAAGATAATTTATTATTACCTTCAGAAATTCCAGCATTACCCTGAATATATGTTTAATTTTATTATCTCTTACAATTGGAAATTTAGTATCATCAATGACACTATCTTCAATCACATCTATTGTATTAATATAACTATCATAATTACTCATCCTATATAACTAGATGTTAAAATTGTTACTATCTAATTATATATGGATTTTTAGGCGCAAACAAAAATCCATAAGGGGCTGTAGGTAAATGTCAAAGAAAATGAACTGTGCTGATTGAAACATAGCATCAAACAAATTCTCAAACAAAAAGGCTTCAACATCTTCTACTGCTTGTTGTCATAGCAAAAAAGAGACCGTGTCGGGAGTGAAAAAGAAGCAAGAGCCCAAGGGGTGGATTTTTTATTTTTAATTAACCTTCTTATGAGGGGCAATATGGCAGTCTGTTCCAGATTTCACCTGACCCCAATACTCAAAGGTAAAATAAGATATGCCATTTACAATGAATATTAGAAATTAATTTCTAAATAAATTATATTATGAATAATACCGTTCCAATTATTAAACCACATAAATCAGCAGAGTATGAGTTTAAACAATCAAAATATGATGTAGCCCCTAGAATACCATTTTCACAAATTGTAGTGGGACCGTCTGGCTCTGGTAAATCTATCTTACTACAGAATATGATATTAGATATTTACAGAAATTGTTTTGAGAGGGTGTTTATATTTTCTGCTAGTATCCACGTTGATAGTGTCTGGCACCCAGTGAAAGAATACATTGAA